ATTTTATTTTATTTTATTTTATTTTATTTTTGATTTTATTTTATTATTTTATTTTTATTTTATTTTATTTACTTTATCTATTTTTAATTTAATTTTAATATGTCATTTCATTTTAATGTCATTTAATGTCGTTTCATTTTAATGTCATTTCATTTTAATGTCACTTAATGTCATTTCATTTTAATGTCATTTAGTTTATCTTTAAATTCATTTATTTTTATCTTATTCTTTCCATTTCATATTATTTTAATTCATTTCCTTTTAATTCATGTTAAACACTTTAATTTTTTAATTCTTTTTTAAAGCGCTTTAAACTTTTCATTTCTTTTAAATATTCTTAACCTCTTTCTATTTCTTCTAAATATTTTTAATTTCTTCCATTTTTACACATTTAAATTTCATTTTTTTACCTCTTTGCGTTTTCCTCTCCACTTACCTCATCCTTTATTTCAATTTCATTTTAAAATCCTAATTTTAATTTCCGTCCACTTAAAACTTTTCCGCTTCGGGTTCCGCTTTGAAATTTCTCATCGAAATTTTAAATTACTTTTTTTTAAATTTATTTATTTTTTTTTTTTTACGTTCTCCTGATTTATTCTAATTTTCCTCCTGGTTTCTTTTTTTCGAGGCAAGAACTAAACCACCCTTCAAACACAACCGGCCTCGAGGCCAAACCTCCTCCCTGGACCCCAAAGGACCTTCCCCCCGCGATGCCGACGGCCGCCCTCACCGTCCCTCCCCGGTCTCCAATTTTTCATTTCCACTCAAATTCCCAATTTTTTTTTTTTCGGTTTGTTGGGTTTTTTTATTATTATAGTTATTATTATTATTATTACTACTATTATTTTGGCCCCCTTTTTTTCCTTTTTTCTTTTTTTTATTGTTAAATTGCCCCTATGGAATGTGGCGGAGAGAGAAGGGGGGAGGGGGTGGAGGGTTGACTTTTGTGTGGCCCTGGCGGACGCCGCGGGGTCTCCGTTAGATCTCGTTGTGCTCTCCGATGCCGCCGCCCAAGTCGTACTCACTGGAGCGCGGCGACATTCCCAGGTACTGCTTCAGGAACTCGCTAAACCTCTTCTGGTTGTTCCACTTCCTCGCCGACTTGCGGACCCCGATGAAGCCCCCGTACCGCTTCTGCACCCCCTTGGCCGCCGGCGCCGCTCGCCAGCCCATCCCGAGCCGGCGGGAAATGTCCTCGGGAGGCTGCGGGAAGGCTCCCGGTGCGGCTCCGTCGGCGTCGCGGCGCCGCGAGGGGTTCTCCGGTGCCACGCCGGGCCACGGCTCGGCGGCGAGGTCGCGGGCGCGCGGGGACGCCCGGCTGGCGGCGGCGCACAGCTCCCAGGTGGCCCGCGGCACGGCCTCGCCCTCGCACTCCAGGATGCAGATCTGGGAGGGGGAGAGACAAGGGGGTGGGTGTCAGTTGAAGTTTTGGTGTTCCCGGGAATGTGGGATGTCCCCCGAATCGGGGACTTGTAGGGTGGGTTGAGAGGGATGGGTTGGGTTGGGTTGGGATGGGTTGGGTTGGGTTGGG